ATAATAACTGTGGACCAAGAATATAATGAATTAAGTCAGACATTTCAAAATAATATTAGTGCTTTAAAAGACTTGATTCCAATAATTGGCCCCGGCGACCCTCTCGAAGAATACTTTAAAGCTGCTCAAAACCTGTCGTCTTGGATGATAACAACTTTTGAAAACTTCCCCGCGTTTCCATCGAAAACAACCTCTCAAATCGACATCGACTCTATAAACTCCGCTGACGTTTCACTAAGCGGGGTAGATAATAAAATAACAAGCAAACTTTCTGAATATAATCAATTAAGCGACCTCCAAACTAAAACGAACTCTATTGTTGATGCTTCTTCTAATGAAGAGCTTAAACAATCCCTTGTAAAAATTTCTTCTTCTATAGAAACTTCTTGGAATACTTTTAATAATTTGGTAAATTTAGGTAAACTTAGATTACAAGAGTTAAATTGGGTGGTTGAATTAAGATCAAAAGTGGGTGATGTGGATGTTGAAGTTAAAAAAGTTGAAGCTATGTTGGATGGTGTTGAGGAATCAAGAAAGAAGACCCACGATGATGGTAGTGTTACCCCTAGTCCTAACAATACTGGTATTATAAGTACTGATTCTTTCAGTGATATCACTGTCACTGGTATTGTTTTCTCCTCTTCTGTTTTGGATGAATGGTACACCAAGGTTGTCGCCGTGGAAGAGTTGGTTTTCGGTCTTGCTGCTAAAGTTAAAGAGATTAATCAACTTCTCTTTCATGATCGTTTCAGAGCCCCTGATGATTTAACTGTTCATATTCAAAATGTTATCACTTCTAATATTTCTGACCTTAAAAATAAGATTTATTCTACAAAACAAAAACTTGGTCATGATCGTCGTATAGGAAGGTGGTTTGATGATGCTAATGAAATTGATAAATCTATTTCTGATACTAAAAATAAGGTTACAGAATTGGAAGTTCCTGATTTCGTTCATAAACATGAATGGTCTGAAGATGATTTCAATCTTGAATCTTTTGTAAATGATCGAAGGGAAATCTTCGAATCTATCTTGAATGATTCTAATCAATGTAAATCCAAAATCGATGACCTTGATAAGAAAGCTACCGATATAACCACTGCCATTAAAGACTCTATGGATCGCGAAGATCAAGCTGCGGTCGAATTAATGACTAAACAACTTAAAAATCTCAATGGAAGACTCGTAAAATTATCCGATTTTATTACTCTCCTTTTAGAACAATCGACTACTGATCGTTTTTCTGTCGTTATAAATCTTTTAACTTCCATGCAAAGCATGCGTAATCAAATGGCTCAAATAAGAAAGACTATTATTGAACATAACGATGCTGGTTTGGTTCATGGTGACGTCAAGGATCTGGAATCTCAAATAACCGATTTCGAATCTAATTTATTAACTGATGATTCTGCTCTTTCAAAAGCTTTAAAACATAAGCATGCTAAACTTCTTCTTACTATTCAAAATATTCGTATTGCTTTGGCTGAAAATAGGCTTCAAATGGCTGCTTATTTAAGTCCTTCAAGTCCTACCTCTCCTACTTCTGCTAGTTCCGAATTTGATCGTTTAAGTGTTAAAATACAAGATCAATTGGAAGCTTTTCATGCTCAACTTGTATCTCCTCCTACTTATATGATTGATACTTCAAATTCTGAAAATGATGAAACTCAACGTGAACCTCAACGTGTTCATGGTTTAACTTGTACTGATGATCATGTTGATGAACTTACTGAACGTTATGGTAAAATTGAATCTGATTTAACTTCTTTTGAAAGAAGTTTATGGGTTGAATTTTGGTTAAAAAGTGAACCTGCTA